CAAGTAGCTGGTAAGTAGTTGGTTGTTAAGGAGCAAGCGTACGCCTGTCTGAAACAGTAGAGTATACTAGGCTGTGATGCTAGTAGGAATAAATTCAGAGTTCTGAAAGGTGAGGCAGCATAATACTTAGTAGAGTGGAAAGTCATGGAAAACAGCCTGTTCCAAATAAAATAGGAAAAAGCCAAGTCGCTGATGCTGACAGATCTCACAGGAGTGAGCCAGGAAAGCGGGTCGGAGGCCCGCACACAACGGGAAAATCCAGGGCGGGCGTGACCGCTTCGCCAAAACAGGTGAGGAGAAAGACTCGACCAATGTGAGACCTGACCCTTGTGCCACATGCTTGCAGGTTCGCGTATGCGATGAGTGCGGCGAGCGGGCGAGATCTGGAGGGCGCAGCTCGAGAGTCTTCACAAGTTGTCGTAGTTGGGCAAACACCTATGACTTATACTGTTACGGGTCAAGGCAGTGAGACAGTTGGGTCAGCGAGGCCGTGCTCCAACCTGGGTGAGTCAAATCAATAACCCTATGTCTTTGATGAAGTCTGAATGCGATGTTGGTCGTAGATTGTCAATGCTGTTGGATTTGATGAAGTTGTTGTCCGTGGATGATGAAGTGGGACGACCGCGATCAACAATATGAAGTCAAGAAAAAAATCCCACTGTGCTCCCAGTGGTTGAGTTGACGTAGACTGATGATAACTGTTGCAGGAGGCCAGTGTTGTCGGTGCAGTGTCCAACCAATAAGTTTGTTGTACACATAATGCTACACAAGTCTGTTCCAAATAAAATAAGAAAAAACCAAGTCGCTGATGCTGATAGATCTCACAGGAGTGAGTTAGGAAAGTGGATCGGAGGCCCGCACACCTCCAAACACCGCCTATATCCCTCCATCGTCCCACAAGTGACAACATCGTCTTGCAGGGAATGGTGGAACGAGCGGGTGAGTGAGGGCAGTTGGAGATAGAGAAGGCCGACTTCGGAGATTGACGGCGGCTATGAGGCCGGTCTGAACTGGAGTAGCGCCTGATAGGAGAATTCGGAGCTGGTCGGCGATGGAAGAATGGCATGAAGAAGGTTCTCTTGGCCGTGAATGAGTGGCTTGAACGCAACAAAGTTCGGAGGAGTTGCATGAGTTGTATTGACTTGGATGTGTTATCGTCTATATATCCCCAGCGGTCGTGGTCGTCGCGACCCCAAACACGGGCTGGGGCCGCGGCCGGGGGTCTGCGGTCATGACCGTGGTGAACTGCGGCTGAGGGGAAAGGGGGTTGGGGGAGGGGGGTTCAGATTGGGGTTCCGGAACCCCGACCCCACCCCCTCGAACAAAAAAAAGTTAAAAAAAATAATTTTCGGGGAAGTCATTTTTTGTGTGTGAAAAATAAAATAACAATAAATAAAAAAATAAAAAAATCTTGATTGTTTGATTTTTTTTTGATTGATTGATTGATTGATTGATTGATTGAATGATTGATTGATTGATTGATTGATTGATTGATTGATTGATTGATTGATTGATTGATTGGTTAATTGATTGATTGATTGATTGATTGGTTGGTGATTGATTGATTGATTGATTGATTGATTGATTGATTGATTGATTGATTAATTGATTGGTAGGGATGGTCCTCCCTACCCTCCCCCCGACACACACACACACACACGCACACACACACACACACACGCACACACGCACACACACACACACAC